TTTAATTGCGGTGTTCCTCAAGGCTCTACATTTGGTCCACTTTTATTACCGTTACCAAAAAGTTAATGATTTTGGTAGTGTTTGCTGCTGATAGCTCGAAAAACTTTGAATAAATTCTGATAATACTTTGTTGGGGGGTGTAGACTGGGGTCATGTTAACATAACATTAAAATATGGTTAACATTAGCCAAGCCCTTCAAGGTCAACTTTAGGGCAGCAATGATTCATTGAGTACGTTGAATAATTCAGTGATAAAAATCTGACACAAATTCTTTGCTTTGAAGCTTCATTTAATACATGGCTCTGTACCGCAACAATCTCATAATGTAAATGCAAATGTGTCACCTACATTTGCGACTAAGACAGACCCGCAATAGAAACATATTCAGAAGCAGAGTGTGAAGTTGAATGTTGATAACTTGTGTCAGCTGTTATGCAGATGACACAACTAGATCCTTGATCATTTACCTGCCTAAGTGATGTTAAATGCAGGGTTTCCCAAAAAAAATTTCTAAATTCTGTTCCCTTTGCCAACAGTTTGCTTGGTTCAATGGCCACAAATACCAAGCAGCCTTCCCACAAGCAAGACTCGAAGCTAGCCAATTAGGCAATAAACTCACCAGGAATGTGTTTACTGATGTCATGAAGCAAGAGTCTATTTTCCCATAGATTTCTATACAACTCAAAGTGTTCCTGAAACTTAATGAGTTGCCCTCTGTTTGTTGAAATAATGCAACAACCTGCAACAATGCTGAAAAACAGGCCAGCCAATTTCATTACTTACACCTGCTTTTCCTACTCTGATCTGTCCCAAAGATTCCCAAGAAAAGAGTCTTATGTGTTGACTCACAGGCCAGTTAACAGTGTAACTGTACACAGAGTGGCTGTGTGAATAACACATTAATTACATGGCCAAGCACATACCTCAGGTTCAGAGCTTTACTTTATATTAAATAAAAGCTTTTCCTGTTGTGGTAGTGAAAACTATTTTAGGAGATTAAAGCCCCCTCTAGCTGAAGTCACGGACATGTTCCTGCACACAAGGCTGGTAAAGTGCACTTCTGAATACCCCCACTTTGGGGGTTTCAAAGGTGTTTCCATATGGTGTTAACTAAAATGTAAAAGCTGCATTGTTTCCACTCAACCTGATTGTTGTAGATAGTCTTATTTATGCAACAGCTTGCTCTCAAAGCATTCTTATAGTGAATAAGGGGACAGCACTGATTCAGCAATGAATAATAAAACACATGAACTTACTGTACCTTGCATAAAATGACAGTTGCTCATCAGCTGGTTTGTGACTTATGTTTCAATGTCAGTTCAGAGTCAAACTAACCTATTGAAGACACATTAACCTGCACTTTTACTATGTCACATTTAGACACAGCATAGTGCAACTTAGTGCTGACAATGCCTGATAGAATTATTCGAAGTCTTAAAAAACTGCAGAAACTGAATTATCCCCACTATGACCTATGAAATTAAATTTTTTTGTAGATGCATGTTATAAATCTGCTTTCATAAATGTGTTTGACATCTTACAAAATACAGAGACCTGATTAAAACCAAAAGTAAACTGCAGTCAGACTCTCCGGCAGGCTGTCTACATTACGATGCTGACACCGGGCAACTCAACTCTCAAGCAAGTTTAATTCCTGCAGTTACTGCTGCATCATGGAAGATTCTGTCCACACATACTTTTAGCGCCGCAGACATAGTTGTCAAACATTAAGAGATTTCGCCGTACAACCAGATGAGGTTTCAGGCAAACCGCAAGAGAGGCCCTGGTCTGGCAGCAGAAGATTAACTGTAACGTGATGGAGAACAAGGGGAACCCAAAGGGACAGAGTCAGCCAACGATCCAACACCAGTCAGAGAGGAGAGAGAAAGCACTAAGGGTGGTACATTGGTGCCGGGGCAGTTAACAAGTCAAGGCTGCAGGCAATGAAATACTGAATGCATGTGGCATGAGGACACAAGGGCTCAATTTGGGAAATGGTGGGGGCATAATTTTGGCAGGGAGACTACAGTCCTTTCTTTGAAAATTTAGGAAATTCTCGTTACATTTCCTGCAATTATACACGGCACAGTCACTCCATATAAAATTAAATCTGGAAAAAGTCCCTGACCCTCAAAATCAGCAAATATTTTTTGGACATTAAGTTTAGGATATTAAATTTACACACAGAAACTTTTACCATGATATTAATGTGTGAATGCCTCAACCTGCTGGCAAAGGTTCGAATCCTACGTGTGACGGTTTCCACACATCTTCCCGCTTGCCTCCGCTCTGCTTTCTTGACACTCTTCAGTGTACCCTTTCACATACAGCCATCTTCAGCAAGCACTTCCGCTTCTACACCTCTTTTCAGCAGATAATTCTGCTTTTTCAGTTGTTTTCAGCAGATTCCAATATGAGGCATTCACACTGCATTTTCGCAGGAAATGCAACTTTTTCTAGTTATTATTATTCTAGTTGCTCTGACCTTTGCTGGTTAACTAGTCCCCCAGTTTTCAGCCGATTTTCAAACTTTAAACTGTTCTGCTCTTTCTGCTGAAGCGTGCTGTATCTTTTGGTGCTCATAACTTCTATACTTTTTCAGATATTAAGCTTTTTATGCGATTTTTTGGCCCATTTTGCTGAATGGGACAACATTATCAGTGTGATCACCAGTTTAGCTTGCTGAGCTGAGCCATGTTTTAGCTCAGTGAGATGGAGCAACCGTTCTTAGAGCAGACAGGCCGGGTTCTGCTGATTCACCTCTTTTTCAGGACAATTTTCAGGTTCTTTGTCTGTTTTTTGCTGAACATTCAGCATTTTCACCCATTTTCAGCACAATTTAGCTTCTTCTGCTTGAGACCAGAACTGGTTTGGCTCAGTGGAATGAGCAGCCGCCGTGAGATCCGGTGGCAATGGTTCGAATCCTACATGTGACAGTTGCCGCACATCTTCCCTGCTTGCATGTAATCTGCTTTCTTAACACTGCCCTTTCAAATAGAGCCATTTTCAGCAAAGAGTTCAGCTTCTACACAGTGTTTTTTCAACAGGTTCTCCTTCTTCTGCTGTTTTCAGATTACACTACAAGGCATTCACACTGCATTTTCACAGGAAATGCAACTTTTTCTAGTGAATATTTGAATTCATGTGTTACAAAGCCTCCAAGTACATCAAGGTTAAAAATTACAATTTTTTTTTTTTTAATTTACATTACTACTTCACCCTTTCAGAGCCCCTGTAGATTCAAAGTACAGGAGACATTCACATAGTGATGTAGAAGAACAGCCCTGACGACTTCATGTGACTCATGTGACATCTCCTGTACTTGAAGACTTAAGGGCTCAAAAACTATGGAAAAAGAAAACTAAATGGGTATTTTCCCCATCAAATCCTATTTAACTTCCTTAAATATCTCAAGGGTATTGTAATTTTTTTTGTTTTTAAATCTGCTAATCCCTGGTGATGCGGTAAATACACGTAACCTCACAAAAAAAACAAAAAAAAAAAACACTTGTTCAATAACTAATCAAACAACAGTGCCGGTCATTCTCAAACAAATGATTTAACACCACATCCCAAAAGTCCCTGCTATAAATTAGGCCCATACACAGGGAGGTTTACCAGCACACGGTCCTGTTAAAAAAGCTGGATGCAGCTGGAGGTACTTCCCAAAAGATTCCCCAACAGAAACAACATAATTCTGCTGATGCCACTATAAGATGACTCGTTTATCGAAAGGAAGACGTCAGTTAGCAGGAGCTGCAACACGAGATTACTCCCTCCACGGGGACATTACATACAAACACTTCTACCCCTTCATTAGCCTGTGCACATGGTAAATGGCTGGTTTCAAAGTGCACGTTCAACACTTCTAAAGCAAACCCTCCATTAACAACTTAGGACCGATTCACAGGCTGGCTTCACCTTGTCACTAAGATTTTAAACATTCAGACAGTGTTAGACCAACATAACACTGATGGCTTGCACCAACAGCAGCACAGTCATGAGATGACAACCAGCACTTCCGATTATTCTGCTGATGTTCTAATGCCACTGTACATTTAATCCTAATCAGCAACATCATAACAATCATGAGACACAACCTTATAAACTGACCAACCACAACAACAACAACAAAAACGACGACCAATTATATCACAACATATCAGAAACATGTAAAGGTTACTTTGACCCGTACATGTACAGTACTGATGCCTCATCAGTGACACTGGCAGTCAACTAATAAATTCACGAGGACAATTTAAATAAATATTCAAGAAATAACTTGCAAATTTACCAAATAGAACAAAATAATTAGACAAAAAAATCTTTAAAAGAAAGTCTTAAATTAAGACAAAACTTGCCAATTTACAAGAACATAAGTGATAAACTTAAAATATTTTTAAACTCCTATATTTCCTAGATAAACGGATAAATTCATTAGACAAATGTGCAAAAATAGGACATTAAAAAAAAAAGGAGAAAAGTAAAAGAAAACGTCTGATTCACGAGAGAATTTTTTGGGGGAAACCCCCCCAAAAAAAAAGAAAATTCACTAGAAAAACTGAAACATTTACCCCCACAAACTAATTGACGAATCAAATGGACAAAAACTGGCAAATTTAGGATTAAAAGGGCAATTTCAAAAGACAAAAACAGTGAAATATACGGGAAAGGGGGCAATTTTTCAAGAACAAATATTATTTTATGAAAAACGAACACAATTAGAAGAGAAAACTCACAAATTTGCCAGATAAAAAGTAAGAATTTATGAGAATTTTTTTTACTTTTACAAATACTAGAAAAAAATAGAAAAGAATCACAGCTGTAAATCATTGATATAATGTACCTGCACAATTAGCTGTAACAGTTCGGTGGAGTTCGTCCAAGTTTTAAAGCTAAATTTACAGATGTGAGGGGCACACAAACACATGAAGTGGACAGACAAGTGGACAGATTGCAAAGTTTGAACACAGCTGGATTACTATGCAGGCCTCCTTACCCAGGAGCTTCTTCACCTCCTCCACACTCATGTAGATGTTGACTCCGGGGTTGTTGTTGTTGTTGTTGACGCCTACGGGGCTGCCCGGGCTGGCCAGGCAGCCGGCCCCTTCCAGCAGCAGCAGGAAGAAGAAGCCCCCCAGCCTCCAGAGCACCGAGTGCGGCCACACTCGGGACTCGGACGGGCTGCCGGAGCCGCGGATCAACCCCAGCATAACGACGGTGGTTGTCTGGCTCGTTGTTGTTCTCGCTGTTCCCAGAGAATTTCTTTCTCATCCGTATCTGAAATTAATCCCGGGAGGCAACATTACGAGTTACTTCAAGCCCCGACACTCTTACTCACTATCGTGTTTTTAGGGTTTTTTTTGTCCTTTCGTGGTAGCTGGAGCGGGCTAAGTTAGCCGGAGCGGGCTAACTTTCAGTCAGGCTGTGCTAACCGTCCGCGGTCCGACTCGCAGTTGATTGTTTGACTGTTCAGGAGATTTACGAGCAACGTAAAATACACACCGGATATCTCCACATTGAGACGCTTTGATTTCTGTGGGTAGAAGCGAAAGAAGAGTAAAAAGTGCCCTAAGCAGCAAACTAGCTAATACATCCAGCTTTCCCCCTCCATGGTCTCTGCTCCCGACGCTTTTTCCTCTCAGTTTTCACTCCGGGCAGGAAGGGGGGCAACGGGGGCGCGCAGCGCTCTGGCTTCTGCTGCCTTCACGTGCCGTCGGAAATATTACAGCCAGCGGACAATAAGGAAACAACAAGTTAATGTCATTTATTTATTTATATTATTATAATTTCTACATTAAAAGATACGCATGCCTCAAATAAAGATATAAAGAATGCTGCGACCCATAGTAAGACCACATCTGGATCCCCTTCAGTTCTCTTATCAGCCTCGTCTCGGAACAGAGGACGCCATCATCTACCTGCTCAATCGTGTCTACACCCATCTGGACCAGCCGGCGAGCACTGTGAGGGTCATGTTTTTTGACTTTTCCAGTGCTTTCAACACCATCAGGCCGACCCTCCTGGGTGATAAGTTAGCAGCGATGCAGGTGGATGCTTCTCTGGTGTCCTGGATTGTTGATTACCTGACAGGAAGACCACAATATGTACGTCTCCCACAGTGTGTGTCTGACAAGGTGATTAGCAACACAGGGGCACCACAGGGGACTGTCCTCTCCCCCTTCCTCTTCACCCTCTACACCACAGACTTCAGCCACTGCACAGAGACCTGCCATCTTCAGAAGTTTTCTGATGACTCTGCGGTGGTTGGATGCATCAGCAGGGATGATGAGACAGAGTACCGGGCTGTGGTCGACTCCTTTGTCACGTGGTGTGAGCAGAATCATCTGCAGCTCAACGTGGCAAAGACCAAGGAACTGATCGTGGACTTCAGGAAGACCAGGAAACACTTGACCCCTGTTTCAATCCAGGGGGTCAGTGTTGACATTGTGGAGGACTATAAATACCTTGGAGTACACATTGACAATAAACTGGACTGGGCTAAAAACACCACAGCACTTTACAGGAAGGGCCAGAGTCGTCTCTATTTTTTGAGGCGACTGAGGTCCTTCAACATCTGCCAGAAAATGCTGAGGATTTTCTATGAGTCTGTGGTGGCCAGTGCGATCCTCTATGCTGTTGCATGCTGGGGGAGCAGGCTGAGGGTCGCAGATGCCAACAGACTTAATAAACTGATCCGTAAGGCCAGCAATGTTGTGGGGATGGAGCTGGACTCCCTCAAGGTGGTGTCGGAGAGGCGGATGCTGTCCAAGATAAAGACAATGTTGGATAACACCTCCCACCCACTCCATGACATGTTGGTCAGTCACAGGAGCTCGTTCAGTGAGAGACTGAGATTACCGAAAAGCACCACTGAACGACACAGGAAATCATTCCTGCCTGTGGCCATCTCCCTGTACAACGCATCCACTTAACACACTGTTTGCTGCTATAACTACACATGTTTCTTTTCCAAATATTTATTTATAAGTGACTTATGTATGTATGTATGTATGTATATATATGTATATATTGTACTATTCTTAGTTAGCGTATTGTCTGTCTTGTCTTAATGTTGGTTTAAAATGGAGCACTGTAACAAAAAATAATTTCCCCCAGGGATCAATAAAGTATTCTGATTCTGATTCTGATTCTGATAAAGTGGAAAAAAGACCGACTTTATCTAGATGGCATGTTAGACTTTAAAAAAATGATATTTTTTGTTGGGTTGGTGATTTAGGTTGGAAATTTACAAAAAAAACCCCAGTTAAATTTAAAAGAAAAGGATTGCAAATTACAAAAAACGCATAAGAAAAAGCTATAATGACAAAAGCTAAAAAAAAAAAAGTATGGCAAAAGGTTCCAGATTGATATAAATTATTTAAATTAATAAGAAAAATGGAAATTTTATGAGACAAAATGTAATATTTATGAAAAGTCAAACTGAAAAGGAAAAAGTTCAAATCGTGTGATTAAAAAACCCCCAGACATATTTATTTTTTTTAAAATTAAATAAATTGTGAGGGAAATATTTACAAGACAAATTTTAAATTCTTTTATTAAAAAATGGCAGTTTAAAAATAAATCTACTAGGAAATAAAAGGGAAATAAAAGAAAAAAGGAACAAAAATATTAAAAACGGATATATTTAGGAGAAAAACTGAAAAAAATAATTGTTTAATAAAGGAATGACATTATCTTTTAGGTTTAAGTTCACAAAGAAATTCACATATTTGATCTCATGAGATCAATGATTATGATTAAACATTATCAGAGCACCAACAACACCTCTTTCCAGTCATATAACCCAACACAAGATAGCTCATTTTCACTGAAACAAGGTTTCCTAGATTAGCAACACTGGTCTCTGAGTCCAGCAGATGTGAAAGGGAGAAACAACTTTGTTGTTTACATGTTCTGTATAACAGTTCATAGATATACTGATGAAACAACTTAAGGTCGTCAAGAAGTTTTTCAAAATCCTTAAAGGATCTGGATGGCACAGCTTCTCCGTTTTAAGTGGAAGCTTTCTTTGAAATTTCTTGCTTCACTGTCTGTTCAGCTTTGGACTTTTGGCATGGAGGGCATGTCCTTTACTTGAGAACATCCAGTTGTTGTGACACTCACTGCAGTGTCCTTATCAGCTGTTCCACTGTAATATAAACAATACCCCAGTGGCTCTGGTGTGAGGCTTTTCTTTAAGGCAGTAAACAAGTGGGTCTAATATGGCAAATTAATATTTCATCTGCCTCCAGCTGGTTTGAATTCTGGTAAATATGATTCATATTATTTTCTCATCGATCAGTGGCCCTTCGTCATCTTTTTTTTCTTCTTTATTTAGTTTACATTTGCCTTTAATTTGACCCCTGTCTGTATATAGCCTGAGGCTTAGAAGAGTCACTTTGGCAGAGCTAGAGACTCATGACTACAGGGCGTTAGGCAGACAAATTACAGCAGCGAGGAAGCTTTTGTTATGTGGTGATGTTCTGATAGAGCAGTCTCCTTTCTGACTGGGGTGATTGATTAACAAAACCCAAGGCATGCCCATGCTCTGTTTTCTTTCATGAAGTATGTCCCAAATTGGCCTAATTTAATGATTAAAGCTAAAGTTTGGATTTGGAGTCTTTAATTTTGCATCTCCACCCACTTTTGCATGCTTCAGTAACTCAATAAACCAGACACACACAGGAACAAAGAGAAGAGCAGTGACGTTCAGTAGTAAACTTTAAAAAAAAAAAGTCTCCATTAACAGAGTAAACAAAGTTGTGGGTGTTTTCTCTTCTTAAAATGAGCCTATTCTGCTTTTCCTTATTTTCTGTCAAACTTATACTGTAACACAGGTGGATGCTCATATTAAAAGTAGCCAGGGAGTGAGGTTGGGAGCCCAAAACTCAAGCTTCAGATTGCAGAGTTAGTGGACCAAAAACTGCAGTTGCTCAGATTCTTAAAGGCTGGCTCCAAAAGTGAGTCAGTTTCCGCAGATTCTCATGTTAAAATAGCCAATTTCAGCTATATAAACAATACTTTTACAGCCTGGTAAAGATTTTGAGCTCTGTAGTTAATTTCCTCCTTTATAACAAGCGGATAATTACTGGTCGGTCTCTTAGGCTTCACCTTTACCAAGCAGTGTCATTAAACTGTAGCACTTAACCATGTTTGAGCTGTTGGTGTATTTTGTAGCAGTTTTAATGCATTCATCTGGCTTGCTGTAAAGTGCACACCATCCAAGCGGTCTGTGTTTAAAGAGTGAAATTCCACGATATTTATTTGGATGTTGGTTTGGCATTAATCAGAAAATATCTCCATTTCTGTGAGCCGCTATACAATTTATAAATGCCACTTTATTAGCACCACACAAAAGTACTAATAAACTAAGTTGTCAGTGTTAGCTGATAGCTTAGCAATCTCTAAATATGGTAATTTATAGCTCTAAAAAAGCACAAAACAAACAGACGAACACAAATATAGTCATGCCTACAAATCTGAGTCTTCAAAATATAGATGCCAAGGTGGTCACATCTATCTTTTGCACATAGCCTATGGACATTTTTTCCTACTCTGGCTTTGCATGATGCCTATCAGTGAAACAGGATATCCCTAATATGGTCATCTGTGGCACACAACTCCACTTACTTGCTATTCAAACCATTTATGAGGGGCAACACATTAAAAGACATGAGCCAAACCAGCTTGTTTCAGACAGAGGGCGAACTGAGGCACTGCACCAAGACCCAGTTTAAGATAAGGATTATTGTGAGCCATGAACTAATGCTAAATTGTGCTAAGCTACTGTAATAGATTCCAAAAACAGTATAATGGCGCTAAAAATGAGTACAACCGCTCTCCTTTAATCTGTTAATAAAATACTTTTAGTATAGTTTTTGATGCTGTCAAAACACGATAGATTCAACACAGTGTGACAAATGATGGCAAGAACTGCAACACACACACAACAGGAATCATTTTAACATTTTTATTATTAAAATATTCACCTACAAAATGGCCTATAAACACTATTTACAGATTAGTGAGCAGCGACGCCTGCTGAGACACAGAGGAACATATTCTACACAGAAAACGCTGTGCATCATTGTCAGAGGACGAGATCAGTTTAAGGGTGAAAGTACACATTTCCTGCTGTCTTCGTAAGGAGATGATGGGACTGATGTAAGGAAAAGACTCTGCCTTTACTTCCCTGAGGGACAAACCTGCAGCTGAATCACAAACGTAAACCTCTCCGAATGTGTCAGCATTGGACGTTGAAATGAGGTATATAAGGTCTCTGATGCAGTGCAGTTGACTGCCTAGGATTCATATTTGCATACCATATGTGGTTGTATGAAACTCAGTCAGCAAACACTGCAAATGATACGTGATGCGGGACGTTTTTCATCTGACTGATCGTGCTACCGCGAGCTACAAAGGCAACTCTCGGGATGCAGCCTCATATTCAGATGGTTGATGGTTTGTTTGTGAAATGTTACAGTGGGCTCTGACAGGGTTTTTCAGCACAAAAAATGACCATAATCAGTTACTTCAAGTAGATTATAAACACCAAAATTGAAGTAAGGAGGTTTTTCACATGACAGTGATGACAGTCCTTTCATCAGGCTCCAAGTGCTCTAGAGAGAGAGAGAGAAAAGAAAAGTCTCATTTTGAGGGTAAGTGCTGAAAATCTTGTGATCCTCTACAATAGCAGTTCATAAAAAGGGCTGAAAAAAAAATCACAAACCTTTATTGTTGTGTGTTTGTTCTTCTGGCTGTTAAGACAGTTAAAGTTAGTCTGTGAACAGCATTGCATTTGTTTATCGTCTTACAAATATTGCGCAGACAGATTGTTTAACTCACTCTGACTCTTCTTGGAAGGCGTCGGTTCACAAATCTCTCGATAACACACATCCTGCTGCACTTTATATGTCCTTTTATACCTACGAAAGAGAATGCAGGCACTTTTATTGGATCCATTAGGCCACACTTAAACATTTAATTCAAGCCCAGATTGGCAGACTTATGTTTGACGTGACTTACAGGTAATGGCACACACCACCCTCCCAGACGGGCACGCTCTTGGTTTCAGAGTACAGGCGGGTACACGGGTGTGGCACTCGCTGGCACGCTGCAAAAACAGAGGTTAAAGTTAAACAACATGAGGTCTGAGTGCTTTATCAGCAAAGGAAAAGTCTGCGGGATGGTTTAGGAGCAGAGCTTCTCTGCGGCTGATGGATGGCTTTAGGAAAGGAATGTTTAAACAATCTGACGCTGGATGTTTGGGTGCAGAGTCAGCGGGGAGGTGGGGTATGTGGACTGTGTCCTCACACACACATTCATCAGCATGTACATATAAGTGAAATAAAATATTCTTCTACTCTGTCTTTGGAGGAGGAGGTGCATGACTTGATTGTAATAAGGTTTATTCCCTTTTTGAGACATACTGTTCAGTCAGCGTTAGTCATTTCCAAATGCTTCGAATAAAGGCATGTGCATATTCTACTACAAACAGTTATACTGTGAAATAACCACAACAGTCATACCTTTTACAACCAACAATCATTAATATATAATAATAAATAATATTATTACAGTTGATTTGTATAGCACATTTTTAAAACCAGTGCTAAAAAAGAAACACAGAACTGAAGAACAAAGTAGGAGGAAATTATAATTAAAAAATTACAAATAATTTAAAATAAGTCATTCAAGTTTCAAGTGGACTGTCAAAATTAGAATAAGATACGACGTGATTCCAAATTGTAATGAATAACCTTGAATTAAGATAGAATCTAATTAAGCTACTTGTTTAAACCAAGAATCAATGTGGAAAAAAATGATGGGCTAGTCCATTTTTGCTGAAATTTCATTGCAGCACAGTATCAGACCACCTAAAGAGCAGCATCTGAGACCTTACACACTATGCTGAGATGCATAGTGTGCAAAAGTCACCAACTCTCTGCTAAATCAAAAACTACTGGGCTACAACCTTTGGCATGAACATCAGCACAAAAACTGTATGCTGGGAGCTTCATGGTATGGGGTTTTTACGGCTCCTGTAGCTTTAACGTGCTGGTGACTCAGTATTTTTGTTCATATAGGGTAGTTTTAAAGCATGCCTTCAGTTGAAAACTGCAAAACAAATGACAATGTGTTCAAAATATTCTGCGTTGGGTTCACTGATTCATTTCTACAACGTCTCTCCTGATTATCTCCAGCTTTGCCTCTGCAATCTAATTTCTACACTTCTCTAAACGTGGCTACATTTCTCTGTGAGCATATCATCCATGCATGATTCATGATGCGATTTAAAGTAGCTTAGTTATCCTTAAATTTATTGTGTAGCCTGTAAAAGTGGCCCAGCAAATAGGTTCATCAATCACATAAGACTGACTCTTGAAGTGACTTGAGCCAAATGCTGTAAAAGTTGGTTGCCTGTCCAGTTCATATGCTCTGACACTGTCTATCTGTCTCTGTGTTGGCCCTGTGATGAACTGCGAACCAGGTCAGCATGCATGGATATCCCCTCCTTATGTGTCTCCACAAATCTAACAGCAACAATCAGGTTAAGGGTGAGTGAGGGTGGTTATCAACTCAATAAATTAATCAAGACTTTCCCAATCTACCAGTGAATGCATACAAAAGGAAAGAGGCAGGGTTGACAGCATCAAATCACTTACAAACATGGACAGGTTGACTGATGGCAGAGTAACTCGTTTTATCCTGACTGTTAGGGTAAGTGAATCCAGACAGAAGGATATTGAACCTCCTTCATGAAGCTGGTTGCACTCAGTAGCCTGAGTTTTGCTGGTACTAAAACACTTAAAGTTGCCTTGTCCTTTAATTTGTCAGCCATCGTGTATTAAATCCATTAAAACTAATTTCTGACTCTTGTGAACTACTTACAATTTGCAAAGTAGTTTCTAAGTGTAAACATTTTAAATGAAACTCTAAACGAGTACGATTTTTCTGTCACAGGAAAGATTCGAACTTAAACCAAGATGCCTACAGTGTGTAGAAGTGCAGATCTCTCCTGAACATCCATAAGAAACACTGAGTTATAAATTTGACAGTAGCTCCCAAAAGAATGTGAGGAAGGTGGCTCAGTGCACACAGGCCAGTGCTGTGCGAATCGAGTGATGGTGTATTTGTGTTGTTTATCGTGCCTCTGACCTGTAAGAGCCATTCATAAATGTCAGAGGGGTCAATTCGCAGTGGATTGTGGCTCCTGCTTTTAAGATAATGAAGGTCTATACATAGGCCTAACAACCCTTCACTGAACTGTCACCTACCTCTCCATCAAAGATATTCATGATTGCCCGAGCATGTATTCCACTGATCCCTAAACATCGTCTCTAGCACCACAAATAGACTGTATTGAAAAGATGGATGCTGCCACTGTGACATCACCTGGTTTCTGCACCCTGCATTGTGAAACTTTATTGTTAGCTATTCGACTACTACCGTGTTGTTTTTTAGAAGACTGAAGTCACGTTATTATTTGGCGGAGAGGGTGGACTACTAACTATAAGTTGTTTTTTTACTTAATTATTAATTATTGTCAATTATTCTCAGAGTGGGCGGCGCTACTGGGTGTATATTGTACGTCAGGTCTCTACTGAAATGGGGTATAGTCCAGTGCAGATTTGACTCTTTGGTTGTTAAGATTTCATTTTTGCATCATCATCTTTCTACAGTTAGGTTTATAGTTTAATGGTATAATCTGAGAAAATATAAGTCTGTGTCACAGCTAGTGTAGTCTCATGCTTGCTGAGTGAAATTCTAGGAATTTGTTAGTAGTAGTTGGTGTGATCCACCTCCACTTATGAATGTAGCTTCATACATTCATTGAAGATAACTTTGCACCCTCTCATTCAAATATGGCCACTTCTGACTCCAAAAAACGAACATGGCAGCAGTAACTATTAACACTGAGGCTTTCAAAACCAGCTGTGATGTCAGGGTGGCTACATCCATCTTTTATATACAGGCTTTAGTTCTTTTACAGGATTTGCCAAAAAGCAGCTGACTCATCCCACCCTGAACGTGTAGAGAAGTTGAACATAAACTTACACAGTTCACACTGCCTGCCCTTGAACCCGTCTGCGCAGTCGCAGATGAAGGTGTCGCCTCCGTTCACACACGTACCTCCGTTCTGGCAGGGCAGACTGCGGCAGTCCTGGGGCGACTCTATGAGACAACAGCTGCCATTAACATCCTCAGCTCAGGTTTCAGGCTCACTCTTCCACATTATCCACAGCTGATAGCATGTGTTGATAGCCTCCAGCTCTACCCCCACACAACACAACATGAGTGTCATGTGTAGAAGAGGCTCATCGCTGGGATCAGCTTACATGAGAGGATGTGTAAAAAACACCTACCAAGCTTTGTTCTTAAAGCTTCTTCTCGGATCTCCAGCGCAAGGCTGATTTTGTTTGTTGTTTCTTCCATCTTCTCTAACCTAACTGGTGGCTCAGGTTCTGTAAGGTAAAGCATTTCCTGTTAGAATCATCACGAAAAAAACAAATTAAAAGTCGGAAAGGTGAAATTTAAGTGTTAACTGAGATTTTGAGGAGGTTTCTACGTACCAGTCCCTTAGCTTGAAACAACCACTGATTTAACAGAATGGTTAAAACGTATTACAGCATCATGGGTGCATGTGCAGAGGATTAAAACTGCTAAACTTGTAAATAAAAAAGACTGAAATAATAATATTAATAATAATTGCTGCCATTTATCCCATTCATTGTTATTCATTATTTTATTATTCTTTTATTATATATATTTTTAATTATATTATAATTTGGAGTTTGTTTGTTTTTTACCAGTTTTTATCAGTTTTTCGAGTTGATTGTCTATTGCTAAAAAAATATTTCCACTCTTTTCTTAGGGTTTATGGCATCTCCTTGTTGTTGTTTTTTAAGTTATATGTATTTATTCCTTTTTTTTAATTAATTTGACTTGTGTCAAATTAATAAATAAATAATACATTAATTAATAAATTAATTAATAAATCACTTTCGCAATCCTATTGTTTTTCTCTTTTTTAAAAAAAAATCTGTTATTACTGTGTCTTAATTATCATAATAATTCGTTTGTTGACATCTGTCTGTTGATATAGGTACTGATTTTCAAATTTAATTTTGGTTGGGGGTTTTTTCAACAACTAAAATGCCCATAAAACTAAAAAATTGACAGAAAGAACTGCGTTCTTACTAATGTAGAATGAATCCATTAAAATACACAGCAGCACTTACTGAGAAAAAATCTGAATAGCCTGGACAACTCCCCTAGCAACGGGGGGAGTTTTTCAGGTGACTCAGGAGTAAAAATTTAAAATACTCCAAAATATTTCATTGATTTTTGTTCCTGGTTTATGGCTAAGTGTTCATATTATCCAAATATTTTAAAATATAGGGTGACACTCACATAGTTGCTTATACTTACTAGTTCGATGCCGGATGGGTTTTCGAGGCAGGTGAGTGAACTTTGCTGTTATCTTTCCCCTCCTGTCAATGAGTTCTGTGTATCTGCAGCACAGATTAACAAAATGCTATCTGGTTAGCATTAACTGTTGATCTACTGTTATATATTTAAAGCAGTTATAATAGTAACTGACATGCTACATGTACCTGGGTAGTTCCTCTGAGTTTTCTTCTTCTGCTGTGCCTGCCACGTCCTGAGGCTGAGATGGGGTATCTTGTCTTGTCCCTGCTGGTCTTTCTCTCCTTCCCGGTCTGACCGGCATTGGCACTACATGGAAAGAAAAAAAAACATTTCAGGATTCGGGAAATTCAGATTTCAAATTTGAAAGGAAAAAAACAAATCCAGGTGATTGCACACAGCTCACAGGTAGTGAAGGCAAGGTGCTGAGGCACGCTGTGGATCTGCTCCGGCCCCGTGTTTCTGACCGACGTGAGGGCAACGTAGTAGTGCTGCCCTGGGGTCAGCTCACGGAGGGTGTACGATCCCACTCTCCCGTTGGGCAAGAAGCGACTCCTGGTATTCAACCCTCGGGTCACGTTGACCACAAAGCCGTCTGAGACGTGTCTCGGGTGGCGGCTCCAGGTGATCAAGGCTGAGTTTGGGGTCACGTGTGAGAGGGAGAGGTTCTGTGGGGGAAGAGGCCCTGAGGGTAACACATCCAGAGGGTCAAATGATTGTATTAAATGGATTAAAATAATCTCTTTCCTTGGCTGAGTTTCCTCAAATGATTAGGTAGCTTTTTTGCTCTGGCCTGTACAAGGCCTTGTCTGGAGAAAGTTTTGGAGACTATAGAAATGTCTCAAATATCATAAAATGTATATAAAATATGATCAATGACATTATACTTGTGGTTAGGCTTCAAACCTTTTTGATAAAACTTAGAGCTAGAGCGGGATCAGTTATTCTACTATAGACTTCTCGTGATGCACTGGGCACTTATCCACTATCCTTTTTTCAATTTCCATTTTATTATGCATTTCCTTAATTTTTTCCTTTTTCTTCCTGTTTTTTTACCTTTTTCGCTGCACGCACCTGCTTTTTTCTCTTTCCCCTCACCCCAATAGTAGTTGTCTATTCCTCCTGCAGCCAGTGTGTTTTTGAAGGTCTCTTCCTTTTACAGGGCAGCTCTTCCTTCCTTTCTAAATATGGCTCACAGGGGACCATCAGATAATGTAGCGTCATCTTCAGTACTTCCAGGCTTTTCCTGGCTCAAAATAGTAATTTGGGGGGGGGGGGACACGGACTGTTGATGATTGGTCTGCCCATCAGTGAGTCTGTGTTACCTGAGGGACCTACTTTAGTGTCCACCAGGTGGGGTGACAACAGCAACCCATTAGCCTTTTACAGCTGAGGCGTAAGAATGGTGAAAGATCGTTTTGGGTTTCTTTTTATGTTTTCTCATAATTGCGGAAATAAATACAAATAACAACATAAAGTTGTTGTATAAGCTCTTGTATTCGCTGCTGAGTGATGTAACCTACTTGTCCAGAATGACAGAGGTCCTGGTGAGTGGCTCATGGAGGGAAACTCATCTGGTCTGATTCCACTCTGAGTCAACACATCCACAGTGTACATCTGACCCGGCTGTAATGAGCTGTGAAAGGTTCACAAAGAGTCCGCATCAGTCATACCTCAACTTATCTGTTTCATGGTACCCTGTTAAAAGCTTAGTAAATTTGATGAAATGGCTCCCACTAGTGGCTGAAAGGGATATTACACCAAAACATTTAAAGCGGACCTCGGCAGCAACATTTGGTAGACACAAATGACCCGGCAGCATGTAAAAATAAAAGCTTGGTTTAAAGTGCTGCACCTGACCTGAAGGTGTACTCAGTAGTGCTCGTGTTGAGAACAGCAGTGCGACCCTCCCTCCCATCTGAAGGCAACAAGGACACGTGCACCCTGCTGACGGCTGCATGGCGGGCAGCCTGAACCAGCCACTGCAGCCACACCTGAGAGGAGGACACGTTGACCACCTGCAACTGCTCCGCCGGCTGGGGCCCTGCAGGGAAACATTCAAAGACAAAGAAATGCTTTCCGGTTCCAGGTGAACTACTTTTACTACTTTATTACCCACAAAAAAGTCATAAACATTGCTGGGCTCAACATTTCATAATGATTAACAGCTCCTTATTCAATGGTTTTCTTCACCTGCTTTTGAACTCACTGCGTTCCCACCTCTTTTAAAGAAAGCTCACCTTCATCGACATTCTGAACATTTCTATGACCAATTCGGATTTTTATAAAAAGGTTTAAAAACGGTTCAATCCATTTTTTTAATGTGTCAAAATGACATCTTTGACCATCTAACACATGCTCATGGTACAGTATTATTCTGGTCTGTGATTTTTTTCCCCCTGTAGGTGGTTGCTAGGCAACATTATAATGTCATCATATCTGATGTAGATGAGAGACATCATATTTTATTATTTAAATATTTTAGTCAGTTACTGTTACTGTCTTGGAGCAACTGTAACATACATCATTTCCTAAGGGATTAATAAAGTATTCTGATTCATCAAAGGTCTATAATCTATCTGTGTGCCTTAGTTGGTTGCTCAGCTTCTGAGATTATACTAAGACTACAGAGCATTAAAGAGCATGCTCACTGGTGCGTATTAGTGCTGTGGCAGGTTGGCTTGTGTCACTGCTGTTGGTTTTCAGCTTGATGGAGAAGGTGGAGATGTTGTACAGCAGGCCGGGCATCAGGCCTCGCATCACGTGGGTGGACTTCTGCCTGTCTAGGTAGTCTGTTTTGGAGTTGCTCTGACCCAGGGGAGCATAGGTGACGGCAAACATGCTGATCAGGTTGTTTGAGGGCTCCGGCTCATCCCAGCGCAGCTCCACCTCGCTTTCCTCCACACGCAGCACGTGAAGGCCGGGCGGGGGCAGCAGGTCTGGGGACAGTGGCAACTTTACATATCTAATCCGAATGTTAAGTGTGCTCTGAGTGTTGAGCGTGCTGAGTGGTGAGGCTGTCGACTGACCTTTCTCGCAGTCTTTGCCCGTGAGTCCCACTTTACACATGCAGTTGTAGTTTCCTCTCCTGTCGCTCCAGCAGCGGCCACGGTTCCCACAAGGTTTTAACACACATGGGTCCTCCACTGGTGGGCGACAAAGACAAACTAATGCAGCAACAGGATTCACCCGGGAACAGTGAGCAACCTTTGAAGTGTGCAAGCCCCTCTCAGTCTTGTTTATCAATAACCATCAATCAACCAAGCTATTTAGCAACTACAATAACTGAGTGCAGTTATCCATTTATCTATTATATCTTATTCATAAATATTTTTCTAATGGCTCTACTTGTTTTTAGCATATTTACACTGTTTTGGTTATCTATGACAGATTTTTATGTGCTCCAGTTCGCATATAATAGATCCCAAAAAATGCATGACAGTGTGTGTGAGGCAAATGAAGCATTATAAGTATGCAGGAGTAAATCAAAGATGGATGTAGTGTCCGGATCTGCAAAGCGAAGCCAAAAGAGGGGCCTTAAACCTGCTTTCTTTTCCAAGTCCAGCAGAGGGCAGCAAAAAGACTTCTAGTTGTATAGAAGTCAATGGGAATTTATCTGTGACTTCAGAAAACACTCTACCGAACACCTTAAAGGCTTAGATAATAGTTTCAAGGCATGTTGAATAAGGTGCGAGGAAGCAACCTCACACCCTTTTTATATGTACAATAAACTTCTTCTGTACTTAACTTTAGCTAAACTCAGTAAACTCAGGGTTATTAAAAACTGGATATCATACATAACATCACATAACATCAGCACAACATACTTACACATCTGGCACTGATCCCCAAAGAAGCCGTCTTTACACATGCAAAGATAGTTTCTTCTGTAACCCCGACACACGCCTCCATTCAGACAGGGGTTGGACTCGCACATGTCCTGCTCTGCACACAGACATTTTACAGTGTGGCAGAATTTATTAACAATGCATTCAGCTATCTTCACAACAATTTACCATTGGAGAGAGAAAGCCTTTTACAGGGTAAAGAGGCTTTTTGGATGATGTTATAATCAGCTGGTTTCAACAACATCGACCAGAAGTCACTTATGAAAATAAAAATGTATTAGTAGGTAGGAGCCCGGCCGATCCTCACACGTTCCTCTGTTAATGCACGGCTCCGACAGGCACTCGTTTATGTCTTAAGGCGATAAAGATGCACACATAAGTAAACACGTGCCTGTGTACAGGTGGTCCAAGTGAACGTATTTGTAAGTGTAAGCTTTCGATTGATCCTTACCTATCTGGCAGCGGTTTCCGCTGAAGCCACTGGCGCACACACACTGGTAGGATCCGATCTTATTTCGACACGTGCCTCCGTTAAGACAAGGCTGGGATAAGCACTCGTTGATCTCTGTGACAATGCAGAAATTAACAAATTAGTATGAATAAAGATAACAAGGTCATTCAATCTCAATTCAGCTGATCTTTAGAACATTTTCTGCTCAATCATCTCCAATTTCCAGGAAATTTTTATGGTTCGCACATGAAGTTCACACATATATGATGACTGAGTGAAATTTTAGCCTCAGATTTCAAATACACTTTTTTGAAAAATAGTCCATCGACCCAATTTCGGGCCTTTTTCTCGCAGTACTTTTATATAATCTATATCTAAAAAACCTGAATTAGCTGAATTTCACAATAATGTAAAAAAGAAAAAAGCTACATGAAAAACATGAAATTCTTCATCACAAAATGAAGAAAATACTACTTTAATTCAGCTCTCAGGCTGGATTGAGCAAATATGACAAGTTGCACCACAAAGAGAAAAATATCAGTTGATAGTCTAATCCAAATAGAACAAAATCCTGGAGTTTCCAGATGTTACTCTAGAACTCAGAAAATCACTTTCTTAAATATATGCACATCTTTCATTTCCTAGACCTGTCGTGGTAACTGGGGTTTCCATGAAAAATCAATTAGTACCTCCCACCTGACTCCCTCTGCTCGTTTTTACGTTCAACATAAAAAAATTACATTTTGTGTTTTTTAATTTCCATTATTTTCTGAATAAAAAGGGACATACCATCTTCTGCACAAAGAAAACTGTCACAACCAATGCAATGAAGCAAAAACTGCAAAGACAGCATTCACAGCTCACATGACCCCTTCTGAGACCTTGAAGATCTCACGATTTTTGATCATTGTGATGTCTATCACAAACTATCATAGAGAAGATGTGAACACCATTGTTGTTTCACAGCCGTTAACTACATTCACAGATGTTAAAATATGACAGCAACAGAAAATTAATTTGACACAGAAGCAATCATGGTTAGAACATCAGCCTGGAATCAGATCGTCAGTAAGTCTGAGACATTTCGTATGTTGTAACTTGTTTTGAGCAGCCGCCCATTCCACATGGTGATATGATCCTTGAGAGTTTTACCCAAAAAGCATTTTTGGAGTTTTATCCAGTGAATTATCAGAAAATAGATCAAACATCCAGGGAATAAGTGCATATTTCTGTGGGTCACAGGTAATTAATTTGTTGGAGCGTTAGATCCCCATGACACTGATGTTCGAAGACAAAAAGAACAAAGACAAAACTGCGGCTTTAGACTGAAACACTTGGAGTGATTTAGCAGCATTTTGCAGTCCTGAAAGTTAATAGGGAAAAAGTCAACCCCATCCTCATGCCTGTGCATTTCAAAGGTCTATAACTTGGAAAAAAATTGCATGAAGGTGAAACTTCCTCAAATATAACAAATATAAACAATAAAAATGTCTGATTCTGAGGGAGTTGGATTGAAACATTTTCATGTGGAATGACCCTGGGATCTTTTTTGAGGAGCCATCCACGTGTCCAGATGTGTTACAGACCTTAAAAACAGGCAGCTGGATCCAGTCTCCATTAACACAATCTCCCAGTAACTTCGTACTTTTCTTTAATGACCTTTTGTCTTGTTATTTTTTAAACAAAAACAAAACGATAACTAAATAAAAACCAGTGAACGAGGACAAATACAATGATGAAATGTTTGACATCTTTGTAAACTGGAGACATGAGATCCAGTCAGAACTAATTAAGTTTGTAGTTTGGAAGTGATCTAACCAGAAGTAATCTCCTGGTGCGATAAGGTTAGACATGCACATTTGATCTGACCCTGGGAAACAGTACAAGCAGCTCCCATGCTCCTTGTTTTTCATGAAAACGTGGCAAAATGTCAATGTTGGGGAGGAAGAGAAGAGTAGACATGTGAACACATTTTGCATTTGACTTTTTGTAAACCGTGTGGAGCAACTCTCACCAGTAAAAACAACAAACTTTTGAACTTTAGATTATAACTGAATCTACTTTGGATTTTGTCTGCTATAATCTTACGATCAAAATCAAAATTTGCTTCCCAATAATGAACACTGCCTGAATGCCACTGATGCTCTGGGTGGCTCTGGGAACAGACGTAAAGCCCGGGTGGCATATGTACTCTGGCATGGAGCCTGGTGTTGTTGAGGAGAACTGGACCTCAGTGTGCTTGACCTGTGGAGGTGACCCACAGCCCAGCTCTGAAACGGATACAAACATGGCGATAATGTCAGTGTGGCTGCATAGCAACACAAACTGAGGCTTAAACGAGCTCTTCCACGACACACTAACAGCAACAGAGGTGTTTTCCATTCAGGCGCCTAAAATTACCTCCAGCATGCTGCTACAGTGTGTAGACGTGAATCACCGGGTCTAATCAGGTCTCACTTTTTATAGGTTATGCAGCCGTTCTATATCTGTAAATGTGGGGCCTCTAGAGCAGCAACACTGCTAAGATTATCTTCAGACAGAAAGCCAGTATCTGTACACTTGAGCGCTCAGGATATCCCCTGTATGTTCCAATCAGCTAAGGTCAACATTGTATAAACACCAGCATCAGACTGGCATTGCTGTGTGGTGACATACGGTCTCCCTACCTGCAGAGGTATGCACCGCGCTCCTGTTTATTTCACAGTGCCTGCCGCTGTAGGCATCGGTGCATTCACACTTGTACTTTCCTATGTAGTGAAAACACGTCCCACCATTCAGACAGGGGCTGGAGGCACAGGGGTCCGGCTTCCCTGGAACAAAACATCCACATAATAAAACAGAACTTGAAGCTTTTTCATGGTAACATGAATTAATCCCATTTAATCCCTTTGACGTGTAAACTTACACGCTAAGGATGTCGTAGTGAGAGCAGACAGCTTATAAGTCTATAAGCAAGACTGAGAGTCGAAGCAGAGGTTTGGATTTTGAAGAGTTTGTCATCTCGTTCCTCCTGACGTTTACACCAGGGGGAAAATGACGCCAAGGCCACCTGGAAATACCCTCATACCCTCAGTGGACAGTCCACCACTCACTACCATTAAAAAAATGCTATTTTTTTTTAGTTACCTTAACTTTAGCTTATTAAAGATTTGATGGATTTCCGGCTCCTACTCGATGATCTGATATTGGCATGTAGATGTCTCCAGGACTGGACTTCAGTTAAACGTGTGACATTTTGGGCCTTATAACCGAAATTAAATTAAAATGAACTGAACATACTTCAAATATATTTTACTGGTGATACTTCTGCACTTTTCCTTAAGCAGTATTACAATGGTTAGACTTTAAACTGACTTGCTCGGTTTAAAAGACACTTAAACAGATGTATTAGTGACAAGGTTATCTGATGAAAGGACTGCCGTGTATTTCTGTACCTGCTTTCACGTAAATTTGAGAGTTAAAGTTTGTAAATTACAGTGGAAGGTTGGCACCCACCCACTTCGCAGTGTTTTCCTGTGAACCTGTAAGGACACACACATCGGTAACTGTCAGCCTCTTCCTTACAGGAGCCTCCGTTGCGACAGGGCCCAGAAGCACAGGTATTGAGTCTAACTGGAAGGAGACAGGGAAAAGGGAATCCTTGAAGCAGAGACCACTCCAGCTTTTAATCACACAAAATAGACCTGTTCCAGTACATTGCAATTCAAATCATAATTCAGGAAAATAGCTCATAACTCAGCCATAAGTACAAATTATCTTAAGCCTTTCAGCGCTGCAATATTTCAAGCAGCATTACGAGTAATGGCATGTTTCCTGGTGCTTTAAAGCTGCATTTGGGTTTGAGCCCGCAGTAATAACGCACAAACCTAAAGGATGTTTTTGTCACGGTGCTTCATGAATTCACACACAAGCATTCCTTTTTAAAAAAAGAGATGGTACTACCTTTCTCACAGTTCTTCCCCCAGTATCCGTACTTGCACTCGCAGGTGTAGCCTCCGTCAAGCTCATAGCAGTAGCCGCCATTCAGACAGGGAGAGGAATCGCAGACCGATTCGGGCTGTACTGAAAAACACACACCGAGACTTGACTGTGTTCCACTGCGCTGGGAAAACTTTATTCAAGCACATGGGTTCGGTCCAGATTTAAAAGGAAACACAGATTATTTGTCATTTTATGACTGGATCAATTATAAAATCTCATAAGCGCCTCCAATAACAGCATCAATCATCTATAAATTTCTCCCCACGTCGTAAATACAACCGTTTCTTTTAAAGTGAATAAAAAATGTGTTTTGTTGCAATAGCAACCAGCTGCTCGCGCACTAACACTGCTGTTGGGTTGGTGCCTGAGCCTCTTACCATAGGGGTAAAAGTCTTTGTGGTCCAGCTCCACTCTCGTCTGACATGTGCACAGGTACGCTCCTCCGTACTCCAAACACGGATTTCCATCAGGACACGATCTGCCGTTACTGCATGGCATCTGGGTCACTTCTGAGGGAGAGAGGGGTTAAAAAGTGTTTGAAAAATGACTTCTGCTTCATTTCTATGAGACTCAAGAACCAAGAGAACCAAGAACAAGGCAAGGAAATCCCCAGAAAATCAGAACATTTGATCATGCATAAAAGAAACATAAAAACAGCATGTTTGAATAAAAAAGACATACTGATTAGGGTGAAGGGCTGCACATTAAAAAACAGAATTAAAACATGTCCCACATGGTGCTGACTTAAAGAACAATAAACTTCATAATTTGAAGGATGTATTAGATTTATTAGAACAGACAAAGACATTTTTAAAAACTATTCTCCTAACTAAAATCTCACAGCTAGTGATACTCACTAGCTGTGGGTAAAAACACATAAACATAGCAGAGATTAAATGTGTTTTTCAGCCCATAAAATTTCACGCATATATCTCCCATACAGGTTACGAGGGATAAAAACAATACAACCAAATTTCGATCCAACTGCATGTGCAATATTTTGCATACAAAATGTGCTGTAGAAGAAGAAATCAGAATAAAAAGCTGTACTTGAGTAATCTTTAGAGTTTCCACCACTCACCCTTTACATGCTCTCATCCTTTGCCACTGGGCATTTTACGATTAACTGCACTAGTGTGGGGAAACCACGGGGGGTCCTTTCTGGATATACCCTGCTTCTGTGATCTTTAAGTAATCGAAGGTCTTTTATGACACCTGATAGGGTTAAACATATCATACCCACCGAACTGACAGTAGAGCCCCGTATAGCCTGAAGGGCACTCACAGGTCCCGTTGATGTCCACACAGACGCCACCATTCTGGCAAAGACACTCGTCTGCAAACACACAGAGAGAAGGAGAGGGAGTCAAAGCTGGAAAGTTTGCTCCAGCTGCTTAAAAGCATGCACTTAAAAGAAGTTTTCAGTGTTGGCCCAAGTGTAAACATAGACAGAAGGTATAAATGGTCAACATGTGCACCATATGCTTGCATATGTGCACCAAGTGTCTTTCATCTGCTATACTGTAAACTAAGTATTGATTCGCTGTCATTTCTCTTTCCCTAATCTTTTCCAAAAAAGCTCACAGCAGCAGAAGATTAGCAGTCAGCGTGCTGCACATCCGCTCTGTACAAATTGTAAGAATGTTTGTGTTTTCCTCTCCTTCCTAATTGCAGCAGTGGATCAAAGCACGCGGCCGTATCGCGGCTAAACCGCTCCACTTTGAAGTCCCGGGAGCTCGGTGGAGGGTATTATTTTTCTGATGATATGGAGCATATTTTGTGACCAAAACTTAAGGCCCCGAGGGCAATTAATGGATTGTTAATTTTGCAAGAGCCACTTTCATTGGCCACCTGTGCGGCCCAGGCGCTTTGATCTGGGAGCCTGATTAGGCACTTCTGCGTCCCACTACTTTCTCTTCCTTGGAGGATCGTGCTCCTTTTTCCGCTGTGCCTTCCAAGTGAGCCAGGCAGGAAAGTATTTGGGAGATTTAAGAGAGCCTATATAAGCACTGATAGTTATTTCAGCTCAAGGGTGAGAAGTAGCATGCATTTGCAATGGCTCAAATGCTGTTAAAGAGCCTTTCAGTGGGTGAAATAAAGCCTCGCAACAACTGCTATCAGTCGGTGTCAGCAGCCTCTCCTGGGAAATTGAATTAGCTTTGCTGCTGTTCTTCTTCCCTAAAACAAAATGACTTAATATGCATTTATAAAAGAAGCATTAGGCGGGGTTTTACATATTTTGTGATTAAGCTGGTTATGCAAGCAGCAGCTGTGCCTGAAGCAACAGGAGTGGTGCAACTTGCAGGGAAGCAAGTAGCGGTGCGGAAGGATATTTCAGCAGCTCTGTGTGCAGAAATGGCCTGAATACCATAGAGCAGCTTTGACTCATAAAGAGGCCGTTTTAAGTCTAGACAAAGCACTTCCTCTTGTTGGTAAACTAATAAAATGTGCTATAAAACAATTATTCACAACATCAAGCGACTGGTTCCCGTAATAAACTGGGCGAGGCCGTGTCAGTTTTGATAATTACAATAATCCATCATCACAGCAGCCTCTTCCAGGGCAGGGATCCAAATTCCTGTGGGATAGCACAGCTCCTCTTCAAATACCCCAGTCTGCCTCTCTACCTGCCCAGCTGCCTGCAGTGAGCATCAGCCGGGCCAGCTGCACAATACCTTCACAGTTGTCACCGTAGAAGCCTGGAGCACACGTGCAGTTGTAGATTCCCGAGCTGGTGTATTCACAGATCTGGTTCTTCTTGCAGTCCAGCTCTTCACACGAGGCTGGAGATGAAAAAACGTGAAACGCTGTGATGTGAATAATATGAGAAAACGTTTTGCCAAAGCTTTAACTGGAGCTGCGCTTGCTTTTACCTGTCTGGTTTTCTGCCTCGGTGGGGTTGACCTGAACTGGTAGCAGCTCTGAGAGGGGGAGACAGGAATGCCCTTTAAAAGGTGGTTCATTCAAGCAGATATAATTCCTCACCTACAGCCTACCTCACTCTGAAATGAGCGTATAGGACAACTCCAGTACGTTTGGCATGAATGAAATGTCATAACAGCCAGCATTATAGCTATATTATACATTAGAACTATATCTTTCACCAGATTTTATTTATTTATATTTATTCTTTTTAATTTTCTGGCACTTTTCAGGGTTCTGGATGCAGGGGCAACAGTTTAAGCAGAGATGCCCAGACCTCCCACACCGCCTCCTTCAGTTCTTCTGGGGGCTTTGAGGGGACAGTAAGACTACAAGGGTGTTATTTAAAAGTCAGGCCATTTCCATCATCTTGCTAGAGTGTGATGGGTCTTTCCCATAGGAAGCATCCTTGTCAGATGCTGAACTAGTGGTTCCTTTCGATGTGGAGGAGCGACTCTGAGCTACTGCTTAGTGATTGGGCTCTGGACCCTATTTCAATATTTAAGAAATTTTAAAATCTTTATGAAGATTCACACACATGCAGGTACCTGATTTTACTTTAGTGAGTTTTTTAAGCACATAATAATGTCATGTTTAGTTTAACTGTAGCTTAGTCGCCGTTACCCTTTACATCCTTGGATAAAACATAAAAAAATAATGCTGATTTTTCCTGCATTTTAGAATTGTTGTTAAGAAAATTTCATAAAGGGATCACAGATTCAGCACCACCATATTCAAGTGGAAAACATCTTAAAATTTGAGATAAACAGATGCTGATCAGATGTCTGCGCAATGCAGTGTCACGGCAAAACATGAAATGGACACGCCGGTCCACTGTGTCTAATTGCACACTTTGCCTCTCCAAAGTGTGAAAAGGACACACATGCAGAAGTTTCAGAAAGTTGCAGAAAGCTACAGTACCAGCAGAGGGAGATATTTTATTTCAAGCCAACATAAAAATAATCACAGTAAAATATGTCTGTGTAGGCTCTCAGTCATCCAGGTCACAGCAATCCAAGGATCTGGACATTATTACATGACAATCGATGGGGACTGACTCATTTTAGAGCCTCTAGTGGACATTAGTGGAACTGCAGGTTTTTTGGCACTTGATACCGGGTTTACTTTTCAGCTCTCGATGTTGCTGCTGGAGTTTGTGGAAATGAGGAGGATGGACAAATAAATACAGCGGTGACCTCATCACAGGGAAACTAACCTTCATACTCCGATAAATAACTGGCACACTTTTCTCCTTCATGATTAGGGATGTTTTATCATACTTTCACATATCCTTTTTGAACACAGCTGTCAGCAAACACATTGCCTTCTCAGTATTTAGGGTCACAAGTGATATTTCTGGATGTAAAAATCCATGACCAGAATCTCAATTACAAACAAACTGCTGAGCTCTTTAAACAGACCCAAACACTAGAGTTTCTCATAGCTGAGCTTTAAAAAAAAAAACCGTAACCCTGTCTGTTATTTAAGGCTATATTTACTCTTGTCAAGATTTATGTCTATTAAGGCACATTTGTTTGACTTCATCAAATAAACTGTGTGATAAAGAACGATGAAAATATTTGCTGTGGCAATAGAATGAAATTCCTAATGTTGGAACACTGGAGAAGCAGCTCAGCTACAAACACTCCAAAAGACCTAAAAATGTTCCCCCTTTGTGCTCGACCCACTTGGATAAATGCCACGTAACGGAAAGCTAAACAGGAAGGTTATGTCAAGAACTTCTTCTCTGAACACGCTCTTCTGCTCACCTGTCTCACAGAGTGTCCCAGTGAAAGCAGCGGGGCACGTGCAGGTGAAGTTGTTCACCCGGTCGATGCACTCCCCTCCATTCAGACAGGGCTGCGACTCACACTCGTCTATGTCTGCAGGATTAACAAAAGCCACTTAATTAGACACGAGAGCTTTATCTGCTGTTGAGTCATTAAGATTTATTAATCGTCAGGGGGAAAAACGAGACATTATTGAGTAAGACGCTCTGCTGGATTAGGAGCACTGAGCTTCCCTCCGGAAAGCGTACAGTTTCACTGACCAGGTGTGTGGGATTAACAATAATCTGGTCTCATGTACAAACAAGAACTCATGAGCTGTGCTGAGCTCGATTATTAAATCCACCATTAGATTCAAGTTTCATTAACAATTAAAGAGAACTAGTAAAAAAAGGTTTTTGGTTTGGAGGCCGACGTGACTTTGGTGAACTTTCTCCCCCCCCACAAAAAAAACCAGTTGGTTTGCAAATCCATTCAACCGTAACCCATTTGTCTAGGTAGACTGGGAAGCTCTTTGGAAAGAAGCATCTGCCAAAAGACTCAGTTTGATGTAGAAAGCAGCAGAAAATATTTCCTCTGGAGAATGATGCCTACTTTCCCCCCGCTCACCTGTCTCACACAGGACACCAGTGTAACCCGGCTCACACACACAGGTGAAAGCGCCAGCGCCTCGTACACACGTCGCGTTGTTGAAGCACGGCCTGTCTTTGCACTCGTCAATGTCTGCAACACACACACGAGCGTGCGCACATACACACACATGTAGAGAAACAGAGAGACACGCTCATGGAATATTTACTCAGCTGATTAATATATCCGCCACACTGTTCCCCTCACTCTCCAAGTATGTGCTGCTGGCTGCGAAAGGTATTAAAAGAGGTCTGATACATCTCCACAGGCTGGACTGTGGGAAGAAGCACAGAAGCTCCAGAGAGGCTGGACCAAGATATCCTAAAAAAACAAAACCCCTCAACCTTTTCTGTGGTGAAAATGCTAAACTGGAGCAATTACAGTGCGGCACTCCACAGTTCACACACGGTTTGAAATAAGCAGTTTTCAGCTTTTCTGCTTTGTAGCAAATAAACAAACCACAGACATCACACAAAACTTTTTCTGTGATAGCATGACATATGAAATATGTATTACTTAAATTAACTGCATTTCTTCCAGATCAATAGGAGAAATTTTAAATAAAAAATATATTTCCATTTAAGTTAAAAGTACATTTTTAAAGTTGCAAATATGAATGATCAACTGGAAAAGATACCACTTTATGGTAATGTGTCAGTTTTACCTGTTTCACAAAGAATCCCAGTGTAACCAGGTGGACACTGACACATGAAACTATTAATCTGGTCTTTACAGGTCCCTCCGTTCTGGCAAGGCTGTGAGGCACACTCATTGACATCTACAGTGACAGGAACACAAAACACAGAGGAGATAGCATGACATTTTTAATTTGAGAGAATCCTCTTGTCAGGGTCAAGTAATGAGAAGAAACTGATACAGGTATTAAGGAATTATCCAGGTGTCCCTTCGGTGAGGCAGAGAAAATCTGCTGACATTAATTTTCCTCATCTCAGGTAGTCAGGAAGTCATTCACAATGTGCAGAGCGACAGAACAGGAAGCAGTGTGAACCATAACTCACCGATTTGGCATCTTCGACCGGTGAAGCCAGCCAAGCAGGAGCAAGTGAAGGAGGGGTTGCCTTTAATACAGTCATCGATGCACTGGCCTCCGTTCAGGCATGGGCGGAGGTGTGGGCACACTGACGCTGCAGAAGGAGGTCGATGGAACTGTTTAGTTAATCTTTTGTAAGTTTAGTGTTAAAATCTGGCTGTATTAGAAAACGACTTTAACCCAAGAGGAATCACGACGATGAGCCTTGTGTAAAAACTAGTGTAAAACTTTATTAATTATGCTAAACTTACCTTAGATTCAATTTAACAATGACAGGATTTGTTTTAGATCTGTTTTTTAGATCTGGGTAGGTGGCATTATGCTTTTCCTTGTTTTTTTTTTAATCATATATATGTACTGTTCCAGTCTTGTGTCATATTAAACATAAACCAAAGTTTGAAATAAAGAGGTCAGAGTATGTGCAGTAATCCCTGTGAGCACAGAGCTCAGGCTTCAGACTCTGAACACTCAGTTTTAAAACATTTTTTTTAACTCTTGGATCTGTATGATGTCATGTATTGTGAAAGAGTTCAGTTTCTGAGATGTAGCCAAAAAACAAAGAGCTAAAAAGGAAGCCAAACATTATGTAAAAACAGCTTTGTTTTAGGCAGTGGCTTAGCTGGGGGACACGGTAACGATAAAGATAAAGATAAAGAAGGATTATTGTTTTACCTATAAATCATGCAAAGCAACTCTAGTAAGGTTCTTCATAAAAATAAGGAGGTGGAAATGATCACTGTGTCTGTTTATTATACCTAAATCTCTGCTTTACTTGTGAGGTCTACCTGTTTAGATGGTGTCCGGCACCAGTGCTATTACTTATCCAGGCCTTGCTCTAAGTTTATGCTGTGTTAGGGAAAATAATCTAACATCTACATTTACCACATTCTAGTCTCTTTTATTTAAAAAGAAAAGAAGCTAAATGGTTTGTTCCAGACTAGGACACTGAACTAAAGGGCTGCACCAAAGTCCAATATAAGACAAATAAGGATTATTTTGAGCTATGAATCATGCAAATCTGAGTCCAAGAACATTAAAATGAAGCTAAAATGAGCACAGTAGCTTTCCTTAAGACAACAAAGTGGATTTGAAGAACTAATCCCCAAAGACCAGCACTTACCAGAGTTATTGCAGCTTCCCACTTCTACATTTGCGTCATCTATGCGGAAGACCCATCTGCCCGGGAAGCCCACATTGGTGGTTCCCTCAACATTTACGACATCAGCTGTGCGAGAGCCAGGGATGTTGAAATAGCGCTTGCCATCACCAGCGTTAAAACCTGCCTGGGAAGAGGCAGACATAATAAAGAAAAGAAAAAAGAAAAGAAAAGAAAAAAAGCTGAATTACAGTTTAGATTAATGCTGTCGGAGAGCGTATCACACCGGAGGTACAACGTCTGCAGATAAACATGTGACCTTACCTGTGCTGCAATCCCGCCTAGCCCAATGAGGTTTCCTCCGCTGCTGGCATGCATGCCTGTGGTCCAAGTGATGTTATTGTATTGGAATATAGTGAAGGAAAGCTCTCCGTCTGTAATGAGCACCACTTGGAAAGTATTCACCTGCAGAGAAGAGAAACAGGCTCAGATAAATGGCTTCCTGATTTCTAGGAAATTCTGTAAGAATCAGAATCCTCAAGGTGATGATTTACTCAGGCCATTCATATAAAACTACTCTGTAAGACTCAAGAAACCAAACTATATCCCTGGTTAAGAGTCACTTATCTAGACCCTAAAGACACTTTAAAGAGGGCTAGTTCTGTTTTTCCTTATACTCTGCCATGTATCTCCTGTTCCATTGTTGGATGATCATATTAAACATGGTCAAGGTTTCAAAAATGAGGTCAGTGTATGCAAAAGCAATTGCTGTGAACTAAAAGCTCAGACTTCAGACTGCTCTAAACACTCAGCTCATAAAAGACTGTAGATAAAAGATGAAACAAAGAGCAGAAGTGCCTTCAATCTGCATTCTTGCTAATGGGCAGCAGGAGGTGGCTCGTCTCTATACAAGCTTTCAGCTAATTGTTTTTCTACTTTTGGATCTTTAAGATGCAACCACATTAGTCCCACAAACCTGCTGTTCAAACTTTCTGTTTTTGAGGGGCAACCAATCAAAACTTGCCCCTTAAACATTATTTCTAAACCTTTTTCTGGCACAAACCATTCCAGAAGACAAAATAAATTCATGCTGATTGTATTCATTTGAATGCAGATTTAAAATAAATAAATAAATAGAATTGGAAATGAGCATGATAGGCCCTCATTGTACTGCGTCTACATGGTTGCAGGATGTTAAATGAGAATTCATACTGGTGTTTGAGAGTTTCCTCCAAAGAAGGTGACTTGATGCCATGTAGAGATGTGGACCCACGTTGCATTGAAGTTGGGGAACTCTGAAAAGTACGTCCTGACATCACCCGAAGCCTTCCTGAGGATCACAGGATCCTGGCTCTCTCTGTAGAAGACTGTCCCGGCTCGACGGTTGTCCACATCAGCCCAGAACGGCGCCACGACCCTTCTGTCTCCAGCGATTGGAAAAGCTACAGGTGTGAACTGCGACACCTCTCTCAGGAAGGACACAAGGCCATTGTTGTTAACCTGAGACGGAGGAACAGCTGGAGTTAAATCAGTAATAAACTGATAGATTTACATATCAGATTTAACCACTGTGAATTCTTTGGAGGACTTGGTGGGGTTAGCGTGCTGAGGAAGAGCTGGAGGGAGCATTTCTGACCTCACAAAATAAACAGCAGCATGGGGTGGTGAAAGTTCCCATAACGGATGTTTGCACTTTCGTGTAGCGAACAGACACTACTTTTATTTCAAATAACGACGGCAGCTGAAAAAACCCAGTTTCTGCTGATCACACACCTGCAAAGTCATCACAGCAGGAAGAACTTCACGGTCTGTAAATCCATACATTTGCCCGCAGCAAAATAACCAGGTAAACGAATCTGTCCCCTGTGAGAAATGTGCATGGATGTTCTACTGCATGGCAGAATATAAGCTTCTTAAAATATGTAAAGTAATGAATTAATCACTTGATTAACTGATTGGGAAGTCATCAGATATTACATCAAGAGTCACACTAATAATCAGGAAAAATATATATTTATTGGTTTATTTCTGGATTTTCTTTCTTTTATATCGTTACAATCGAAACAGCTGGACTTCTAGAGGCCAAAAACAGGATCATTTATTTATTAAAAACTAAGTTTCCCTAGAGTTGCCCAGGAGAACCTACAGAGAGGACATTACATACCTAACCTGACACGTGTCAAAAAGAGCAGAGACAGTGACGCTCTTCACAGACCGCTTTGAAAGGAGAAAGCCTCATGACACAGTCAGAGCAGAGAGCAGAGGGCACAGTTGACTCTTCTGTGGTATACACGTTTAGTTGGTCTCCAGCTGCATTGGAAATAACATTAATATCAGAACTTTGTTCTGCTAAATTATCCATAATGTTGTTATATATATGTATGTATGTATGTTTGCTTGGTGCTCAGCTCAAAGTTCAAACTTTAACCCTGGAACCAAGAATGAGACAGGCCACTGAAACTAGTTCTCAGAAATTCAGGTGGACACGTTTTTATAAAATTTGTTGTTACAAATTATTATAAAGTTTGGATGAGAAATTTGCACAAAAGCTGCAATCTGCCCATTCTTCGTGGTCACCTTTTTGAATACACACAATCACATACACATTCAGCTTTCCTCTGAGCTGTCCTCTTTTCAATTAAGCAACATGACTGTCATTAGGTCTTTCAATTGTAGCCACAAAAACACCTGGGATAATAGCTAGGATACTCTCCTCCTGAAGGGACACTGCAATAAGAAAGTGAGAAAATTAAGCATAATTTAGGAAGGAGTCTACCTGTGCAGACTTTGTGCATAAAAAAGAGTGGATCTGAAACCCAACTATTCATTAAATGACATAATACAAATGGGTCACAGTGTTCACCAGCTGGGGTTCAGAAAAGATAATTGCACCCACACAAAATGAAACTGGTGCTTTCCAGCAGTAACCTCTGTGGGGATCAGCCCACATAAGAGCACATAATTTTACAATTTATTAATTGTTGTTCTTTTTTTAAAAAAAAAAAAATTAAAATAAACCACTGTTCCCAGTATAATTCATGTTCTCCTGATTCCTGAAAAATGAAATTTTTCTTGGACATTAGGAAAGGTTAGGAGTTGTGTTGAACTAGTGAACCCAATCCCTGAATATTCAGTCTTCCAATCCTTGTCTATATGTAGGATCATGGTTCTCAAACTAGTGGTCCACAAAGTAATTATCTATAAGTCCATCATTTTGCTGTTCCAAACTGGGAGCACTGTAGCTCTTAAAGCATCATATTGTATCTGGATTTGTGCTTGCTAGCTAGCTGGTGAGCATGGACAAACATTTGAGTCAGTCTTCATGATCAAGTGATGCCAAACCCAAACCAGCTAAGTGGAATTATGAGAGCATCCTTGTAAATGTTCCCTGGCTTCGAAAGTATAAGAACCACTGATGTAAGGCTATTTGGCCAGCGGTAGGGGTGAAGGGACGGTCTGGGCAGAGTGCAGGAAAAACTTTTTCAAATCCCGATGTTGACAGGTACGATTAAACCTGAGTGGAGAGGAAAGTTCTGCGGGATAAAGGGCTGAATCCGTGTGAAAGGCTTTCATTCATGCATTATTTCTGTGCACCCACAGCATGAGATTCTTCCCTTCATAGCACCAACCCTGTTTCCGCTAAACTCTGGCGTGAACTTTACCTCTCTTTTAACATTCAGGCCGAGCTGCATATGACAGTGACAAAGCAACGTCAGATGGCTCAGCTCTGCTCCACGCATGTATGAAAACCATAATTTGAAGGACTTTGCTGTAAAAACAGCAGAGGAAGTTTTGTTTGGCACAGCACGGGGGCTCAGTTAATTGCCCGACCACAGCCTTCCCCTCTGCACCAGGGTGATGTGGTGAGAATGTGGCCAATGTGTGGGGGGGAAACATTGGAGCGAGTGCAGGGGCAGGGCCCGGAGGTCAGCCAGAGCGCCATCCGATACTGGGAGAAAAACAAGAGAGAGGGCACAGCGCTAAAGGAATGGAAGGACGCACATGAATTACAAACCTTGCACACCCACATGCCCACTAATGAGAGACCTGTGGTGGCAGCGGTCTGGAAGTGAATCATCTTACAGCAGAATTAGTGTAGGAAGTCATGAACACTAAATAGAGTGTATATTCTAATACTGGAATATGTTTAATCACCTAATCGAATCTCTTGTAGCATCTGGAACGGCTTAAAGAAGTGTATTTATACTTCTTTGGGGTTTTTTTAATGCTACTTTAATATGAAAATGACCTCAGAGGAATAAAAATGAACTTGGGACCCTATTGCTTTGCATCATATCGCATTATTTTCCTGTGCTTGCGTTTTCTAACTAGATTGTACCAAACCGGAGAAGGATGTTCCTACATCACACTCGTGGGAGAGTGAATGGGTTCAAAGCCAGTGCCATGTGTTGCGCTGTAACGTGACCAAGGTCAGAGTCAGACCGAAGAGTGGTGCGATCATTCAACCTTGTAAGAAGCATCTCTCGCCCCATATTTCTTACTCTCACTCTGAACGGTGCCACTTCTTTCTGCTTCTTCCTAACGCTCTTGTTATTTTTTGGGAATTCTTTGCCGGATACATCCAGGATTTTGCTTGGGTGGTTTTCTTTAGAGCTGAGCAATTTATGTAGTAAAATAAACTTTCATCTGGCTTAAGTCAAGCCAAAGCAAACCCCTAAATGAAAAAGGTGCCCATGGATCGGCTCAGGAAAACATTAGTTTTCCTTGTCAGAAACGGAGGTTTCACAGCTACAACCCTGTCCAATTATTTGACGAGACCAGAGGAAGTGACTGCAGTCTACAGTCTGTGCACTTGGCCTGTAACTCCTTAGCCCCGGCTCACCTTATGCTACAAAGAGTTTAGAGCGAGGCAATAAATCCTGTCGACAACTGCAGGGAAGCACTGAAATGCTTTCACAGAACGGGTGAAGTGGAGGGTTGGTGTAATTTATACGTAAAGGCACTCAAATAAAGTCTTAATTTGTCAGTCATACAGTTAAAAGTGCAAGAGCTTAAAATGACTTCTATCAAGGACCTCATTTGTCATCTACAGGTTACAATCAAGCAGCAATCTCTTGGGTTGAAAAACGAAGCCATAAATTGCAACTCCATGAGTGCCCACTTGAGGCTGACTCCAAAAGTGACCCAGTCCCCATAGACTTCCATGTTAAAATGTCTAATTTTGTGGCAATTTTGTTCCCATCCTGGGAAACATAAAGGTTTCATTGTTCTCCCTCTTCTACATTGGGCTTTTTTAAAATACTAGATACTGGAGTTAGTCACTTCTGTTGGCAACATAACCAAAAATGATGGCAACCAAAACACCAGGATTAAAGTTTCAAAATGCAGAGTCCAAAATCAGCTGCTGACTTCACACTTTGTGAAATATCCCACCTTCAGTCTTTTTTTCTTCACATTCTGCCACATACAAAACCAAACAGAATACCAGCACTGCTAAATATTCTTCTAACAAAAATCAATTACTGAGGAAGACCATACACAGTATAAGAGATGGATGTAGCTTTACAACTGCATTCTTTTTAATGGCCTCCAGGGGCTGATACCTGTGGCTGGAAAAAGATTCCAGTCCTCTAGAAGTCTATGGGATAATGTCCCTCAGCCCTGACCTCAATAAACACTTTCCTTTGAGTTTATGGCCTCATTCACTTATTTCGGGTCCATCCAACCACCCATTTTCTCCCACTTATCCAATTCAGGGTCGCTGAGGGCCTTTACCAGATGTTAATGGTCAAAAGTCACAAGTCTACTGTGGGGATTCATATTGAGTCGTGCTAAATGGAACATAAAGTCTGTTTTGTAAATTTTGGCCATTCTGTGTCAGAAAGGACGATAATCCAGAAACAGATTAAAACATTGTTAGCCAATGAGTGCGCGGGTCAGAGCCCTGTGTTGCTCGTCACATTCATCTTGCCTGTGGGCAAAGTAAATGTGTTTCGCAATGAGTCGTCATCAGTGCAAACTATCAATAATCTCTCACTGTTAGAAGATTTTTAGGTTTGACACTTTTATTAATGATGTGGTTTGTGCTTATAATGCTTTTGTAGACAGTTAAAAAAATGAATGTGATCAATATATACATGTATACGATTCTTTAGTGTACTGTAACATTTTAACGCATTACTTTTTGTATTTTGATGACTTTTTCATGATGATTAAATAAATCTATATTTTTATGATTGCTTCCTGTCATGACGTTTTTCGTGAGGGCCACCATAAGATTGATTGTGCTCTATGTTTCTTGGTGTTTGGACCTCACCCGTTTTTTTGTGCGTGTAGTAGATTTTTTTTTTTTACATTGCTTTAATGCAACGTGTTTGTCTCCACACAAAAAAATATTAAGAGTCAGTATTTTTTGGGGGCACTTGACACGTGTACGAGTTGGAGTCGAATCTGTTGCTTTGTATGTACTGCCAAAGAAAAAGCCTACATTTCGTTCTTACATACAGAACTGTATTGTTTTATCCTGAGTGCTGGGAACACCCAGGCCAGGCATTCATCGGGCAATCACCACCACACACTTGACCTTTGTGTAGTGCATGTGCAAGAGCACGCAGGCATTGCTCAGTCATCACGAATAAAAGTCCCGAATCTCAGAAAGAATCACTGTGGCCATAACTAAGCAAATACGAGATGCTTGACTTCTTCCATCAACAAAACTAACAAAAGTTTTTCCTCATGAGCTGAGATTGATTAACATTGTTGGGACATTCCTACACACACCGGTGAACAGTGTGAACAAATAAATACTCCAGCTTTGCTGTAGCTGAAGTACTCCCATTGTGAGTAAGTGTTAGTTTTAGAGACATTTCCCTTAAACTGCTTCAAAGTGGCATCAGCCTCCTCCGCTAATTCTCTGCAACAAAGAGAAGAAGTGTATTCCCAAAAGCCCGATTCTTTAAAAGAGCATCATTCACTTGAACACTTTAAGATGTTTTTAAGTATGTGCAGAAAAATCGTTTCCATTGGAGGATGAACTGTTTCTAATATAACACACATCTCTCATCCTACACATGCATGTAAAATGCACCCATGCAGAGTACAAAGAATAAAACTCTACGCACACATCTTTGGGCCATACACGGTGGTGAGTGAAACGAGTGAATGAAACTGTACAAAGTGTTGGTGCTCTTCAGAAGACCAGATCAGCACTAGCAGATGTGTAATCTGTAAAAATACAGATATGCTGTAGAACGTTCTCGGTGGAAACATTTAAATGTACTGAAATGTTGTTTACGTGCATTTATTTCCAGTGACAGTCTATTTAATCCACTGAAAGACTTGGGACTTTTTCCACTATCCATGAGAGTTTCTCTCTGCACTAACTCCCTTTGATCGTGCCCGTCTATTCTCACATCTGCTTTTAAACTTGTGTTCTTTCCTCTCTGACCTTGGATGTGCTCCTTCGCTGTGTTTACGCCGGTCATCCGTAAGAGTAGTTAATCCATGAAACGCATTGTTTAGAAGCCCTCTAAGATTCTTTGCAGATACATCTGCATTATGTTAAAGTGATTGGTCATTTCTCAGATAAAGCAGCTGGACAGTTCCAGGGGGAAGACCCCTGCCATGTTATCTGAGGCGTGGGAGGAAGGGAGGAGGGGAGGGAGGACCCGGAGGAGGAGAGAAACATGAGAAAACTCCCTGACACAGACCGTAACAGAGGGACAGCCTGGTTACGAGGCAGAAATGGGACTGGAGTGGGACCAAGTCGGTATCTTAGGTGACATTAAAAGTATCTGTAAACAAGTGCTGCATGGCTGTGATGATCCTTAAATCTACGGAAACTCCTGCAAACAAGATGTCCTGGTTCAGAAATACGCTCCGAGGCATGTTTACTGCTCAGCAGAATCAGTTATGATAATGAAGCGTGACAGCGCCCACAAACCATCTAAAACCAGTCTGATTCTGCAGCTTCCATGTAGCCCAGAGGCTTGGAACAAAGTCCTGGGAGAAATTATTCATACAAATTTACCCCTTTAGTACTCACTGAAATATTACCTGTTCAAAGCAGCTCTCTGGTGGCAGATATTGCCCTGTGGGCCGCCTGCTTTACAGCGCATGTTAAATGGATTCAGGTGAGGTTTTAAAACAAGCGTGACTGTAATTTCAAGTGGTTTCTATAATTTGCTTTTGCTTTCTCTGACCTCAGAATGAGACGCAAAGCAAGAGCCACGGGGTATCACATCACTACCAACACAGCACATTTTTCAGATTTAGATTGTTATCTCTCTATCAGATGATAATTCAGTCTAAGATCAACAAGCCAAGCAAACAGCAACATGTCTTATCTTGTCTAATTTCACTGCAGAGTATCAGTATTGTTAAAGGAGAAGTGCCAGCAGTTGTGCTCGTAAACATCGCGTCTCTGTCTTTACGCTGCGTTTAGATGCAGGAGAGTTTTACATTTTTCCACATGAGGGAGCTGACCTCACCGCTCGTGGCGTAAACGCTCAGATTAGAAAAACAACCTCTGACCTTGCCCATTGTTGCCATGGTTCCTCAGCCTCCCTCGCCCAGTGTTTGAAGAGGGAGGAAGGGGAGATATGAAGCGCAAACGCAGATGCCTCACCACAACAGGTGGTGTTGATTTAAGGGAGTTCTGCCTTTCCATGCGCTGGAACCGAACCCAATACATGACAAAGGCAGATCAAAGGCTGTTTCACTGTGCTGTGCGAAAATCCTTGTCAAACCGTTGGGCTTCCTCCCATGAGTGCTGTTTCTCTCTCTCTCTCTGCTGTGCATATTTTCCCTCCGCTCTCTCGCTCCTTCTGAAAAGAGAACCACTCACAGATGCTGCGGCGACAGTAAGAACACAAACTGTCACTTCCTTTAACAGCTCTTTGCAGATTTATTATAACAGGAGTTACCACTGTGCTGCTAATAGTTTGTCTCTTGCTCTGCCTCTGTGCACTCGAGGGACCTCAGAGTGCAGAAAGGGGCAGATGTAAAGAGAAAGTCACAGAGGAGTATGATTACACCCGTGAGGGGAAAACGCGATATTCTACATGAACGTATACAAATTCTCTGAGGGTACCGCAATGTAGTATTTGGCTGTGTGCCACATCTCAGCTCCCTGAGGCTCTTATACGATCCACAACATTTCAGATCCAATTGCCAGCTACCAAGTGCATGCACACTCATAACCAGTGATTTCAAAACACATCAGCAGAAACACACTCCTCTGTACTCACATAGAGTCCTGTGTGCCTGTCTCCAAAGAAGGGGAATGCAACAGAGATCTCCAGGAGCCCGGAGCCGCCGTCATCCTGAGCAATGGTCTGGGAGTCCCCCTTGTCCCGGCCAAAGGGGTAGAAGTCCTCCAGGGGCACAGCGGGTTCCACGCCGGGCAGCAGGGTCAGGAAGAAGAGGGTGCAGAAGCAGGGCAGCAGGGCTTCCAGCACCAGCACCATGGCCTCAGCCACCCAGGGATGGAGCTGACAGCAGGCACAGCGGAGGAGAGGGAGGAGCGCGTACACCTGAGGCAACAAGAGCAGAGCAGAGCAGAACAAGACAAGACCGCACGTTCTCCCTCTGAATCCTCCTCTGACTGCTCTCTGGTTCTCCTCACTTGTCCTTCAGTGGTGAACTGGGCTTCTTGTGTGAGACAGGGGAATACTGCAGATTCCTTGCATTCTGCTTTCTGCTGGGCACTGCATGAGCTACACTCTGTCTCACTGAAATGAAACGAAGGAAAGGAATGAAAGAGGGGGAGCAACCTGATTCAGCTGAGATTTTTTTTTTTAAAAACAATCCAGTGATTTGGTCCCTGATAGTCAGCTTAGAAATATCCTCAATAAAAGCTCTATTCTGCTTGCCAAAGGAGTTCTTTCAGCTTTGGCCCCACCTCCCCCACAGGGATTCACTACCTTGCATAATTAGCTCCTTCTAGCCAATAGCTAGAACGAGGCCGGTAACTGGATAAGCACTGGGCGGATCTATGGTAATCAAAGGGCTGCTTTAAAGAAACTGACAGGATTTTCCCCTTTCAGTGAAACTCCTGCTATGTGACACAGTGAGAAGACATGTGTGTGAACTGTTGGGGAAATAAGTGTGAATTTAAATGGAAGAAAATGGAAACGGGTTACTGGTGTTTAAGAAACTCAAAGTCAGAATGAAAACATGCTACTGCGATAGTTCAGGGTTGTGGATGATTACAGGATAAGTGGCAGTGAACTTTTAAAGGATCATGAGGAGTGTGCACCTATCTTTGACAGAAATCTATGGCAACAGCGACAGAAGGTCATTCTCTCACACAGGAAAACAAGAAACACTAAATTCACAAATGCTGTAAGAGTGCAAAACTCACACGTCGTGAAAGAGCCAACACTATTGTGAAACTTTGAAACTGCGCTTTAGTTTATTGAAAATAATCAAAACTTCTGCACCATTAGTACTGATTAAGTCAAACACCACACATGATAACATTCATTTATTTAGTCTTTTTGACATCCTAAGAAAAAATCTTTTAAAATCTGCAAATGACTATTCTAAATATTTGGATCTGCACTCATATATATTCTTACTGGGATTCACATGATCAATATGACAAATGAGTTTGCAAAAATAAAATAAAAATCTAGGAAAAAGAAGAAAGTATGAACCAAGAAAACTGACACAGCATGAGCAGACTTAGAAACGCCAACTGCGGTGAGTCAGAGGAAATCCTTAAAACAATTTGGCACATCCAGTTCACTTATAAACAAAACGCTCTTTGTTTGTTGTTGTTGAGTTTTCCTTTGGATTAATGTAATCCTGTGTGCACATGTGCGAGGTGGGAGCGAATGCAGGAGTGGGTTTCTCTGTATGGAGATGTAGGTTGAAACGTAACGCTGTTGGGAAGCAGCCAACAGAGGCGGAGGAGCACGCTCTCACTCTCACTACACGCCGGGCTGAAGCATCTGATTGAAATAGGCCTGTCGTCTTCTCGTCTCCTGATCGAGCTGCTCTTTGAGCGCCAGCAACTGCAAAAAACCCCAGATAAAAAAAACAAAAAAAAACAATATCTGTAATCACACAGAAAACATTCACAGGTAGATTTAAAATACCTGTTCTTCGAGGCCTCTGACCCTCTGTCGATGTGCCTTCTCCCTGCTCTCCAAAGCCTGCTCTGCCTGAAGCTGATTGTCTCTCAGACGCTCCGTCTCCATATCCAACTCCTGGTGGTGGCGTGCTGTCACCTCCAGGAGGCGGTGTGCGTGAGCATGCTCTGACTGGGAGATGTGGGCCTGAGGACAATTCAGAAAAGATTATGAGACTGAAAACACAGAGAGAAAAGGTCAAATTTGGGTTTTTGTGTACTTTTAGTGTCTCCTGGTGGGGTTCTCTGATCACAAATTTTTACAAACACATTATTTGGAAGGCAGCTGTCTTTAACTTCTGCATTTTCTGATTTACACATTTCTTTTGTTGTGTCTTTATAGGCTGCTGTCAGATCCACTGACATTTTGGCTTCTTTATGGAAGACACCGTCTCTCTCTCTCTCTCTCTCTCTCTCTCTCTCTCTGCCACACCTGAATGCCACAGCTGTACAACATCTGGATCCTGTTCCAGAAACCACAAACTTAGAGTTTAACTCCTGAACTTTGAGATGGGAAAGTCTTCTTCTTTGGGTCCAGAAAGGCTTAACTGAGTTAGCCCAGTCAATTCTATATGTATGTACATGTACATGAGTATGTACATCGTAGGTCATAACAAGACTGACCCACCAGTGGAAAATGGATGGTATTTATCTCAGAAACATCATCTTAGAGTCGTTTTAATTAGGTTAGTCAGGTGAGTCATTATTTAAGCACTTAAAATTACTTTTTGTTTAATGATAAAAAACATGCGACGACGCTGTAATTTTCCTTTTCAATCTACTAAATGTCTTTATGATATTTGCTGTGAAACTGTTTGCTGGTACTGCTTGTCCTTCAATCCTTTTACAATAAAAATGTTCTGATGAGTTTATGGACTCTACTTTCAGGTCATACTAAGTAAAACATGAAGTCCATTTTGTAAATTATAGTTGTTATTAGAGCCAGAAAGAAAGATTATCCCGGGTGTGTGTGGTGTGTGGTTTCAAAGTCAGATCCAACCCTTGCTCATCGCATTGAGTTGACTACACTAACCAATCAATCTTTCATACTGTCTCTAGCAGCGATGGAGTGCACAGAAATGACTCAGTGTCAATTAAATTCAGTATCTTGAAGCGATGACAGCTGAAATGATTTTTTCCGTTTATTTGGAGTTTTTAACATCATCATTACGAACACTAGAAAACTTTAGATTGTCTGTGATAGATGAAGGAAACAGGATGCTATGAGAAACAACATAGCCATTAAAAATGATGAAAATATAACCATAATTTCAGTTGCTGGAACAGCTGGATTGTTTGAGGATTACGTATAGATCCTATAAAACAGTTTGTGCTGCCAGTGCAGTCCCTGCTCGTCCTCTGCTGTAATCCTGGAGCTTCTCACCTGCAGAGTCTGCATCTCGTTCTGTTTTCCAGCCAGCTGCTGCTCCAGGCTCCGCACCCTCTGCTCCAGCTCCTCTCGTGCTCTGGCGACAGATGCTGCCTCCTCCTCCTTCCTCAACCTCTCCATCTCCACCTGACAACAGCACGAGGGTGACATAACGTGAACGACTTTACCATGATTGTTCTGCACCCGTGTGCCTTCCTGTAATCGGTGTAGCAGAAGCCGAGCACAGAGCCTCTCGGTTCCCACAGTCCACCTCCGTATTTCCCTCAGTTTGGGATGACTTTCTACAGCAAACAGAAAGCTCAGGAAATAATAACACTAAACTACAGAATAATAAAGACAGTGTTCAGTATTTTTATGTGTCTTATATGTCTTCACTTGGTCCAGGAGCCTTCTGACCAACACTAAACGTGGATTACTTCAGACCTGGCTGCTGTCACACAAAGGCTTCCAGCAGTTGTAGAATTTGCAGTCTTTAATTACATTTAAAGCCAATTGTGGTTTGGCTTCCTCGTATATTACAGATATTTTACCTCATATTCAGCAAAAATATCTTTTAGGTCCACTGACCAAAAGCAGAGTAATACTTTAGGGCCTGGGTTTAAAAAAAGAATTAAGATCGTGGCTTTAATGCCTTGTTTCAGCTTTTTGCTTTTTAGTAACTGGGATTCATTCTCAGTATTTGTCACAACTGTTCTTATTTTTTTTACTTTTATGTTGATTTATGACATAAAAGCCCCAAATAATGAATAATCCTCTTTCATGCTTATTTATAACTACAGCATCTGTGTTTTCCCCTGTGTTTGTTAAGGCTGGCAGCTTTATAATATTAGGTTTTGTGTGCCACACACACAAGTAAAACATTTTTAACAATCAGTGTATTCTAACACCTGACTGAAATCTCGTGTATACCGTGTCTTGATCGACTGACTTTAACATTCCAGTAACCCCACACATATATTTACACGTGCTGTTGTGATATTTTTAATTGTAAACATTATAAATCTGTCAATTTACTTTTCTTACAACTTTTCATAGTTTTCACAGGAACCGGTCCACTGGTGTGACGAGGATAATGGGGATTTTGTGTAAAATATATTTGTGCATTCGTGCATCACGGCTAACAGAACTACAGAAACATTAAGAGATATTAAAAAGTCCACGTTTTTTTGTTCGTTTGACAACCAGAGCAACCAGAGTTCGGACAAACTTGCTGCTTATTTGGAAAACTGTTTGTTGCCCAGATACCCAAATACTATCTCCCTGGTACTGGTCTCTGTTTGGATAAACAGTTGGTAGCTTTCAGAGGCGGGTGTAGTTTCAGGCAATACATCCCTTCTACAGTGGAACAGTATGGCATAAAGATCAGGTGGAAATATGATGGATTTGGATAAAATTACTTAGATTCCATAAATAATGACATTAGAGTATTTTAGAACATCTCTCATAAATAAAGGAAACTACACTGATATGAGAAACACAATCTTAAAAAAAAAAAAAAAAACTTTACTCAGCCATGTTAGCTCCTAAAGTAAAGCTTTGGCCCTTCAGGGTTTAATAAGAAGTAAAGCAACTAAAGATTATGGATGTTTCTCCTGTTTTGCATTTTTGGTGATCCCTTGTTTAAATAATAAAGTTTATTTGTATAGCACTTGCCAAAATGTATTAGTTTTTAATGCTAATTGTTTCAGGTTTTATTTTTACACACTGACACAACAGCCACACAGAATCTCACCGAGCTTTCTGAATTTCGGGGAGAAAGCTGATAAGTGTAATCGGACGATCTGATTTCCTCGTGTCAGCATTGTTCCCACATCATCATAATTAATGTTGTTCCAGGTTCAACATTGCAGAGGAAATCAGATCGTCCAGTGTAATCAGTGTTTGAAAGCACTGTGCAGCAGGCCAATCAGCTCACCTTCTCCAGCGCCTTTCTAAGTGCAGATTTGTCTTTACCAAAGCGTGTCACCACCTTCTCGATCTCAGCTCTCTCACTCTGGAGCTTTTGCAAGAAGCTCTGGAGATTGGCGACCTTTTCTTGGAGTTCTTTCTTCTCTCTGTGCAGCTGCTGGGAGGTTTGAAGCTCAGCCTCCTGCTGTTGCTTTAGGCTCTGGGACACAGTTAATCAACCACACATCAAAACAGTGTCTTGACCTTTGTACCTGTATTTGCTTACACTTCTACCACTGTGACTCACCTCCTTTAGTGTTCTGTTATGTTTCTCTAGCTCAGAAATATTAAAGTTTGAGTTTTCTTGGACTCTTTGAAGGTTCTGGTTCTGCTCTGCGAGCATGTGGTTCAGCCTCTTACTTTCTGAAAGGGCGTCTCGTGTTTTATCCAGACGTTCCTA